CCAGCTGTAATGAGGCTTCTGGGGCCCTCAGCGTGGAACGGATTCTCTCACCCCCTCTACACACGCAGCCTTGGCCGCAGAGTGTGAAGGGCAGGGGCCTTTAGTGCCTTCCAATGGGGCCTCATCCCCTTACCCCCTCTGCGCTACGTGGGTGCCCAGGAGACCTCTTTCCTTCCCTGGCTCCCAGCTTCCCCTACAGGAGAGTAAGCAAGGTTGAGTCCAAGCTCTGGAGGGTCCCTCCTGGTTCAAACACCCATCCTTTGATCCTCCTCCCCCAAGCCTTACTCCGCTTCCCCCATCACCATTCCCTATCCCAGATCCAGGTTTCTGCCCACCTCCAGCTCCTTACCCGAGTGCAGTTAGCTGCCCGTGGCTCCAGGTCCTTGGGATCCACGAGGTGGCTCAGGAGACTGCTCTCCAGGTGGCCCCGGGGAGCAGTGGCGTCAAACTGGGCACTGGGCTTAGCCAACAGCAAGGGCAGGGCAACAGCAAATCCTGCCATATCCACTGGGAAGGGCCTGCTGGGCTCCCATGCTGTGTGGAAGCCCACAACCCGGCCATCCTGTACCCGAGGGCCCTCAAATCGCAGGCCGCCCACCAGCCCCACGGGCCACACTGAGACACCACGGGTCCAGCGCATCTAAGAGAGGTCAGGAGAGAAGAAACAGACAGGGGGTGGCCCAGGGGCAAGGGAGCAGCAGGAAGGGCCGCTGAGGCCACTCTGCCCCACTGCTCCCCCTCCTCCCACCCGTAACCAAGGCAACCGGGGCGAGGCTGGCCCCACCTGCCTCTTTCCCCATCCCCCCACACCACGGCTCACCTCCTCAAAGAGTTCCCGGCTGTAGGTGTTGTCATCATCTGCAAAGTACACAACCCCCCGCGAGCCGGCTGGAGGGGGGTCCTTCTCTCCCCCCACAGCGCCCCCTCCACTCCGCAGCCAGTCCAGGGCCCTGTTCCGTTGCTCTACACCGCGGGGCCGAACCCAGCCGGGCTCACCCTCCCTGAGCCGCTGGGCCTTGGGGGTGAGGACCGCCAGGTGTGTGAAGAGGAGGCCCGAGGCAGCCAGCAGCCGGGAGACCAGCGGGGTGGGGCCCTCGGCATCCTCCACCAGCAGCCAGTGCAGCCGGGGCACCAGGCTCAGTGTCTGGGACAGCCGCACCAGCTCCGCTTTCTGCACCAGCCTGCAGGGGGAAAGATGGAGGGGAGGGCGAGGGGTCGGCACCCTCTGCTCACTCCGGCCCCTGCATGTAGCTTCTCCTGGGTCCCTTCCAGTAACCCCCATGGTCTTTCCCAACCAACACCTAAACTCCCCTTCTTGCCTGTCAACTTCACACTGTGCTCACCTGCCCTGTTCCTGCCGCCCATGTCCGGCAGCCCCCTCAACCTCAGGGCTCTGGCCGTGGGAGACTACAAGTTAAGGGTACAGGCTTTGGAATCAGACAGATCTGGGTTTGAATGCCAGCTTGGTAACTTAGTAGGTGAGACAACTGGGGGAAATGGGTCAGATCTCCCCACGCCTCAGTTTCCTTGGCTATGAAAATGAGAATAACGGCACTTTACAACAATGTTGTCTTAAAGATTAAATTATAATGACTTTCTAAAATACCAGGAGGGCCAGGTCCTCCTTCTGGGTTTCCAGGTAGATTTAGAGGAGCCCTTTGCCTCATTCCTCTCCAGGGGAGGATTTGCCTGAGTTTAGACAAGAAACTGGGAAGGTGTGGCCCAGTCTCTTCTAGGCTTCTTTCTCCTGCAGTTTGGCCTGTCTGCCCCAGGGCTGGTGCCGTGTGTGTGGAAGGGGACAGGGTCTAGAGCTGCCTGTGCCTACATGGGTCAGCCACCTGATTCCAGGGAGGTGTCGTAAGGCTCTTTAGCTATAGATCCAAAACCATGTTCCCAGTTGGTTTGTACCCCCCCCCAAAAAAAAAAAAAACTACAATAAAAAAAAAAGTAAAGCCCTTAGCACAGTGCCTGGTAGAGAATAAACACACTGTAAATCATAGCTGGTGTAATTATTTCTGGACCCTAGTATGACTGTAAGGCCAAGCCCTTTCCTATTTCAATTTAGTCAGGGATCCTCAAACTTTCTCACCAAAGGATCCCTGAGAGAGAGAGTGAACTCATGGGCAAGCTCAACATTTCTTTGAAACTTTATTGTTCTATCTTAAAATTTGTTAGGAACTGTGTATTCTATTTCAGAGTATACCCCTATTTTACTAGAAAAACAACCCTTTTCCCACAAATCTTTGAGGAAAGAGAGGTGTGGTTCATTTATCCTGTCATTTGGCGTGCCCTAGTTTGAGGTACATCACCTGGCCCAGTGCCTCCCCAAACTCATCATCAACCCCAACCTCCTGGCCCATGCAGGCCTCTGGGGTACACCAGAGCCCATACCTGGCGTAGGTGGGGGTAACAACATAGATAGTAGGCAGGGCCTCAGGTTCAGGGGGCTGGGCAGGGGCAGGGGGTGGACGGCGGAGATCGGCTTGCAGCTGGGAAATCCTCAGATCCTTCTGCCGAAGCTGCTCTGCGGCTGCGCGCAGGGGAGGGAGGCAGTCACATGGCTGACCTGGTCCCAGGAAGCAGGAATGGGGGCAGAGAACCACAGCATGTTGAGCATCCCAAAGGGGCATAACCTTCTTGTTCAACTCCTAGCCAGTGCAGGAATCTCCTGACAACCTCCCGGACAGCCTCTTCCACACCCCTGATTGGGGGGTGGGGGGAAGCTCATGGCCTCAATCAGCAGCCCCCTCCAACTGCAATCAATTCCATCTGTTACGGCTTTCACTCGGATATTGAGCTAATCATCTGCGTCCATCCCTTCTACCTGCTGATCCTAATGTTGCCTTCTGGAGCCATAAAGAACAACTAGATCTTCTGAAACAGGGCTGTCTTTTAAATACCTGAGGATCAAGCCCTAAGCCCTGTCTCTCTGTGTAAGAGGCAACGTTCCATCTGTTCCCTTGGCTGTGTGACCAAAGACTCATAAAATTCATTGATTCCGTTATTGGATAAATATTTATTGAATGCTCCACGTGGGAGGCACAGCCTTAGGTGCTGGGGATGCAGCAGGGAGCAAAGCAGACACGGTCCCTGCCTTCATGGAGCTTTCAGTTTAGTGGCGGAGGCAGACACTGAGCAAAAAAACAAATTAGTAAAATCATTACGAATTGTGATAAGGGCCACGAAGGAAACACGTAAGACAGAGAAAAAAGAGAATCCAGAAAAAGAAGAGTTACGCTAGCTAAGGTGGTCGGGGAAGGCCTCTCCGAGGCGGTGACATTTGAGCTGAGACCTGAAGCATGAGAAAGCGGCGGCCAGGAAGAGCAGGGAGAAAAGCACCTCAGCCAGAAGGAAGAGGTTAAGAGCTTGAGAGAGCAATGAGCGTGGGCTTTCGAGAAACTGTCATGCAGCCAGTGCGGCCGGAGCAGAGCGAGCGAGTGGGAAAGGGAATGGGGTTGGAAAGGCTGACGGCCACAGGATCATGCGGGGCCTTGCGGACTCTGGGAAAGAGTCTGCATTTCATCCGAGGTGCGGCGGGAAGCGGCGGTGCATCCTAGAGAGGGGAGAGCGCCGGCGGCCGCAGAGGGCTGTGGGAGGGCCGAGCCGGCTGAATGGTGTCTGCGCGGGGGTTCATCCCCAGGGCGGGATGCACGGCGGCGGGCGCCCTCGGGCTGGCCCGCCGCACCCCCGCCCCGCCCCGCTCACCGAGCTGCACCAGCGCGTAGAGGAGGCCGGCGATCGACACCAGGAAGTAGGCGAGAAACACGTTCTTCAGCTTCAGCTTCATGGCCGTGTCGCCGCCGGGGCAGGCGGGGTTCGGGGGGACTAGGGGGTCCCCGCCCCCCACCCGCCAGGCTGGAGACCCCGCCCCTGCAGCGGCCCCGCCCCGTGTCCCGCCTTCCCCACGCTCCGCTCCACCGGCTCGCGCGAGCTCGGGTTCCGCGGCGCCCGCCAGGGCCCACTTCCGGTCAGTCTGCACCCCGCCCCTCGGGTTAATTTCCGGTCCCTCCGCCTAGTTCTGAGAACCACGGGAGTGGGTGACGTCACATCCGGCGTGGCGAGCTCGCGTGGCGGGCAGTGAGAAGCCTCGTGGGAGCGACTTTGAGACCTTCCCCTTGAACTCCAGTCCCTGTGCGCAGATTTCCTTATTTTCATTCATTCATTTTTCAACCACAGCACCCAGTAACAGTTCCACAAACGCTTGTTACACGAATGAAAGAAATCTAGGACTTCTCCCGTGCCAGGCCTGAGCTCTGACGCATCGCATTTCTCACTCTAATCCTGAGACAGGTGATATTGTCCCCATTTCACGGACAAGTAGCCAAGGTTGACAAAAACTATGAGATTGCCACTATGTAGTTTTCTATGCCCCTTCTAGATACCTGTCTCCAAAATCTGTACCGTTTCCTCCAACCCACGTTTCTCAAACGTATGACAATAAGGGTGGTGGTGTATAGGGGGAGGGGAGGGAGCGGGGGGGGGGGGGCCAAGGCAGTGGGCTACCTCCCAGGAAATTGGCAATATTTGAGCTGAGAATTGCATAACGACATCCCCTAACTACTCACGGCACAAGTCTTCCTGAGCATTTTCCCTAAAAAAAAAAAAAAAAAAAAACCCTCTTGTTCCTGGTAAAATAATCTCTAAAACTGGTGGTCTCCAAAATGGAGAAATCTATTTTCTGTCACCAAAACAATGGGGAGTTTTAAAAAGTGATGCTAAGGAGAAGCGGCCTTTTGCATGTGAACATGACTATAAAGCTGTTTCTATTCAAGAGGGACCCCATCAGCTCTGGTCACCACTATTAACTAGGCCTGCTAAAATATGATGAACTTGCTGGACTCCTCTATGAAAATATTGGCATCTAGCAAGTTGAGGAAGACTTGCACTCATTCATTTTGCTGAACTGATGAGGCTCGTGCTGAAGTTAGATGAAAATGTCAGGCCCTTAGGCTTCTAAGGGTCTGTGGTTCAGGCCAGAATCAGAATCCGGACATCAACAGTTATTTACTGGTTTCTCTCTTTATTGTTTCTCCTTTTATCAAAACCTGTCGCAGCTGGGGGCCAAGAGGAAGTAAAAAAAATTGCCACAAATATTCCCCCTTGTCCCCAGTTAGTCCTCCCCCACCCCCCACCCAGGGCTTCAAGCCGACCCTGGGCACACATGATCATCTCCCCCCACCCTCAGCCTTCTCCCAGCAATAAATACAGGTGACCGTGATTTGACGAAACCACAACTGATTTCTCCATCTTGAATGCCCCCCGAGGGGACAAAAAGGGGGCAAAAGAAGTTTAATGCCCATCTCCTCTTAAGGAAGAGCGGAAACTTCTTTCGCCCAAAGGACAGGGGAGACAGAACTGCCCCTGTCAGAACTGCAGCAGCTCTAGAAGCAATCGGGGAGAGGAAAGGTTGGGGTGACAGGGAAGAGGATGTTCTCCAGCAACCTCACTCCTTTGATCCATTCATCCCTTATCAGGTAAGGGGTGGTCCCAGTGTATCAGTGGGGCATAAAAAGGGGAGGGCTGAGACAGAGAAGAATCGGGAGAAGAAAGAAACAAAAGGAGAGCAGTTTGGTGGGGAGGGAAGGGGAAGGAGAAAAGGAGCCCTAAAGCTCACTGCCCTCTTCTTCTTCCAAGAAATGGCATCAACACACAAGAGGTATAAATGAAGAGGGTCTAGAGGAGATTCAGGGCCCCCAAAAGAAAGGAAAAAGAAGGGAAAGCAAGGGTCTCACGGTCCCCAGGTCTTCACAGGTGAATGTGCTCCAGTTAGAGCAACAGAGTGTTGAGGGACGATGGGAGACTTGGTGTCAGCGGGGTGGCAGAGGTCAGGAGGTCACAGGAAGAATTCAGAGTGCAGGGACAGCTTCTCATCCTGCCCAGATGTTGGCAGAATTTCAGTCTTCAGATAAGAAAGGTGAAGTCTGGGGACGGTCAAACTCCAAGGCAGAAGGAAGAGGAACTCTCATCACCACTGCGCCCTTCCCACCCCCCAACATCCCTTGTGTTATCGCAGGTGAATGCTCCAGTCAGATGCCACGTTGACGCCAGGCTTGCGCAGGATCAACACAGAGGTCTCAGGGTCATGCTGGAAGGACAGGCGGCTTTCAGGCGATCCTGGTGGAGAAAAAGAAAGCGTTCCATGGTCACAGCAATAGGCTACGGCATAGCAACTGCTTTCCTACAGGCAAGGTGTCCCAGCCCTGCCCCTACTTCCCCTCTTTCCCCCGCCTGGGGGCCAGTCTCACCCCTCACCTTTTGTCTGGAGGACCACGGCTGCTGGCTTTCCAGCCCCTATTATCACCACCCGCTCAATCCAGATTGGTGTCTCAAAGTGGCCTTTGGGGTCTGCTGAGCTAGAGGGAACAAAAACAGATGCCTGTCAGGGAGAAAGATGTCAGAGTAGAAGGAAGGAGGAGACCCAGAGCAAGGTCATACGCAAGAAAAGAGCACAGCGCACTGTGAGCATCCCTGAGGCTACCAAGGACGAATGAGCACTTCCTTACCTGGAGACAAGGCTGTTGCCAGAGAACGAGAACCGACGCAACAGGAACTCATGGCGAGTCTGATAGTTGAATGTGTGCCCATCATCTAGAAAGAGCTCTCCTTGGGCCGTACCCTGAGCGGGAAGTGGGATAGGGGAGAGCCTGAGCCCAAGAGGGAGTGGGGGGCACTCCCCCCAGGGACTGAATCCCGGGACGGCCGGCAGAGGGCTGAGGGGGCTCCCTGCCCACGCCCTCACCTGGGGACTGAGAGCAACGAAAAGAGTGACGGGGTCATCCTTCATACAGTCAGAAGAGCGCCGCACTCGCATCCACCGGGGGATAATTGTCCCTCCACGCTGGAACACAGGGGTCTAGGGCGAGACCAGGGAATGAAGTTGCCCCACTGTCCAATCTTGGGCCCGGCAGTGTCTTTTGCTCTTGCCCATCTATGCCCACTTACATACTGGACTCCAAAGCACACACTCTCCCCTTCTGGAAACTGACAGGCAGATGGAGCTGGCAGCTGGGCCAGGCATACTCACACTGCTCAGGGTTACAGGCAGGTACAGGGTCTGGGGACCGTAATGCTTCTGGTAGCTCTGAATGTCATACCACACCTGTGGGTGGCAGAACACACAGTAGGTCACTGCACAGGGCCCCCATCCTATTTACCCTCGTTGGCCTTCACCACCTTTCCCCATCACACCCTTTCTTCCTTAACTCACCTCCCCTTGGCCAGGCAGATAGACCTGCACACCATGAGCCCCGGAGTCTGATACAGGGTGAACCAATAATGCATCCCCTAAAACACACCAGAATCAGCTGTGAATTGAGGGGACCAGTTCCCAGGCAGGGAGCACCAAAACGCCTGCCGCCTTGTGCCACCGGCCTCACTCACTCCTCCCTCCCGGGGCATCCACAGACCCCTCTCCCACAGGTGCTTACTTCTTCTCAGCCCTATGCCAACCCACCAGCAACTGTCCCCTCCATTTCTCACCAAGCAGGAACTGATCGTCTATACTGAAGGTGGTCACATCCTGAGGATAATGTACCCACAGGGGCCTAGGAAAGAAGCAAAACAACAAGGGAAGACACCTGCTGTCCTGGCAGAGGTCAAAGACGCTAGCCCAGGAACCGGAGATAAGAACAGCACAGGGGACAAGCCAGGAGCTTGTGCCAGGCAGCCCAACTGCGTGGTAGGCCTCAGCTATGCAACCTACCCTTGGTCTAGTCATTGAATTTCCTAATCCATCTGCTTGCCTCCTCCTCCCCCACCTCCTCCTGAAACTATTCCACATGGCAACATTCCAGTGGCCATTTCATTATCCTGCATCAGGTCGAATTTTCCTCTCCTACGTCATCTCCTACCTCCCCCTCTGGGTCCTTACCCTGAGACACACTGGTCTTTCTATCCCTGGAACACAACAAACTCATTTCCACTTTAGGATGTCTGCACTTGCAATCTCCTGTGCTGGGAACTTTCTTCCTCTAGATCACAAAAGTCCATCTTCCTCATTAGTCAGGCCTCATCTCACATGCCCTTTTTTGTGTGTTTTAAGTAGGTCCTACACCCAGCATGGAGCCCAATATGGGGCTTGAACTCATGATCCTGAGATCAAGACCTGAGCTGAGATCAAAAGTCGGACGCTTAACCAAATGAGCCACCCAGGTGCCACTCACATGTCTTTCTTCTTAAAAAGGCCATTTGTAGAACTAAATTACATTACCCTATTCAAAGAGCTTATCACTGTTGACAATTTTCTTTTTTTTTTAATTTTTTATTTATTTTTTAAAGATTTTTATTTGAGAGATAGAATGAGATAGAGAGCGAGCATGAGAAGGGGGAGGGTCAGAGGGAGAAGCAGACTCCCTGCTGAGCAGGGAGCCCGATGCGGGACTCGATCCTGGGACTCCAGGATCATGACCTGAGCCGAAGGCAGTCACCCAAGCAACTGAGCCACCCAGGCGCTTTTTTTTTTTTTTTTTTAAAGATTTTATTTGACAGAGAGAGACAGCGAGAGAGGGAACACAAGCAGGGGGAGTGGGAGAGGGAGAAGCAGGCTTCCCACAGAGCAGGGAGCCCGATGCGGGGCTTGATCCCAGGACCCAGGGATCATGACCTGAGCCGAAGGCAGACACTTAACAACTGAGCCACCCAGGCACCCTGGCAATTTTCTTATTTGCATATTTGTGTACTTGTCTGTTTGTCTTACTCCCAAGGATGGAAGGATACTTGTCGGCCTTGTTTTAGGCTCTGGGGACAGTGACGAACAATGCCAGGCAGCAACGTTTACTGCTACTGCTACTTAGTCTCTTCTTACTCTCAACCTTGAAACCAGAATTTCCCTCCTTTACAAGGCCCTGGTGAGTGGCAAAAGAGGCCTAGAGATGGAGCCCGGTCCCCACTGTCCCTCAGCCACCTCAGCCCACTCTATGCAGACCCAGCTCAATGCCTCACCTCATGACAGGAATGCCTTCACGATGGGCCTGATAGAAGAGAGTGTACCAGAAGGGCAGCAAGGAGTATCGCTGGCCCAAGGCATCTCGGATGATGTCATGGTACTGAGCTGGTAAGAGCCAGGGCTCTCGCCGCCCAGTGTCCAAGTGTGCGTGTGCCCGGAAGAATGGCTGGTAGGCACCCATCTGGTACCAGCGCACAAGCAGCTCCGGCTCTGGATTTTTGAAGAAACCGCCCACATCCGCTGGGAGAGGGGAGGCAGGAAAGAGGTTGGAAAATAGGGTGAAAAAGCTGCTACCTAAGGAGCTCCCCCAGGTCCCACCCTAGACTCTCAGCTCTGTTTGTGCCTGGGTCCTGTGCCCTCTACCTGGCTCCTCTCCCACCAAACCAAGACCCTCAATTCTCCCCCTCTCACCTCCACAGAAGGAAAGTCCCACCAGCCCCAAGCTGAGACACATAGGGATAGAGATCTTCAAATGGTCCCACTCAGCAGTGTTGTCTCCTGTCCACACAGCTCCTAAGGAAAATGAGGGAGATGGAGCTTGCCAACAGTGAAGGGGCTCTGCTTTTCATACAGCCAACTCCTCTGACCTGCCACATCTGTTCTAGGGCCCCCGGGGTCCTGTCCAAGGTGGCAGAATTCACAACAGCACTTGAAAGGGGACCGGTCCTCCCCCGTCCCTGGATCCCCTTAAAGTGCGCAGGTTGGGGGGGGGTGGTGGAGATGCAGCCTGCTGCTCCTGGAGGACAGCCGCGTGGACAGACAGTGCACCACTCTTCCGATCTGGCCTTTACACCCTCTGTCACAGCTCTATTCTCCAAATCTTACCAAAGCGCTGGGAGCCAGCGAAGAAAGCCCTGCTCAGGACAAAAGGGCGCTCTAGGCCCCCAGAGCGCAGCACCAACCCGTCTGCCGTTGCCATGTGCTGGGTGGACAAAGGAGAGAAGGGGTAGTGAGGAACAAAAGCCTGCTGTCCTGTGCAAGTTCCCCAGCCCACAGGCTCTCCTCACTCAGCCTCTTACCACGTAGAAGCCATAGATGTTATGCACGTCTCGGTGCTCCCAGCCCCCATAATGTTGGGCATCCTTGAGCATGGTAACCTCTGGACCATTGAACACAGACGGTTCGTTCATGTCGTTCCAGACATAGAGGTTGGGAGCTGAGCCCTAGGCACACGAAGCAGAAAATGGGACAGAGGGGAGGAAAAAGACAAACTCTAAGAGCAGAGAACTCCTAAGAATCCAAAAAGCATTTCTCAGGGTCCTCTGAGGAGCATGATAAATGTTCCTAATAAATACAGGCAGCCAGGAGCACCTGCGGGGGGGCTCAGTCAGTTAAGCACCGACTCTTGGTATCGGCTCAAGTCATGATCTCAGGGTGGTGGGATCAAGGCCAGTGTCAGGCTCCACCCTCAGCGGAGAGTCTGCTTCTCTCCTCTCTCTGCAACCCCCTCCCCGCACACTCTCAAATAAATAAATCTTAAAAAAAAAAAAATACAGGCAACCAACAACAGCAGGGCTGGCTGGCAGAGAATGACGGACTTAGGGAGGCAGGGTGGGAGAGACAGATGCAGGCAGGGGAGGGGCTGCCATACCTCATAGTTGTCAAAGCTGAACATGTTAGCCCACCAGGCCCTCATTGTGGGATTGGTAAAGTCAGGGTAACCAGCAGCGCCTAGGACAAGTTAAGGCTGGCTGTCAACCTTCAAGGGGCAAAATGGCTCCCATCCTACCTCCCTGGTCTCACAATAGCTCTCCCTCAATTCTGGGCCCACCTACCTGGCCAGCACCAGCCCTCGTAGTCAGAGCCATCCCGGGTTTTCACATACAGACCCCGGCTCTGCAACTCTTCGTGCACACGGTAGCCGGAATCCACCTTGATGTGGGGGTCCACAATGGCCACCAGCTGCAGGCAAGGAACAGGGGTGCTCAGAGCTCTCCAGGGCTGTTGTGCCGGAGAAGACTGAGCATGGCCACAGCCCTCTTACCTTCCGCCTCTTGGAGGCCAAGTGTTCCAGCATGGTAAGGGGTTGGGGGAAACGGCTGGGGTCCCAGGTGAAGTAGCGCTTGCCATCAGCATGCTCGATGTCCAGCCAAATGACATCGCAGGGCAGGTTGTGATCATCGAAGCCCTGATCGACTTCCAGCACGTCAGCCTCATCCCGGTAGTTCCAGCGGCTCTGGTGGTAGCCGAGGGAGAAGAGCGGGGGCAATGCCTGGGTCCCTGCAGGCACGGGGGTCACAATGGGGTCAGGCCCAACCTGGGGCCATCGGGAACACCCAGAAATTGATGGAGGCTTGTTGGGGGGGTGAGGGAGAGAGGAACGGGGGGCGGGGGAGAGAGAGAGAGAGAGAGAGAGAGAGAGAGAGAGAGAGAGAGAGAGGGAGGGAGGGAGGGAGAGAGAGAGAGAAAGGGTACTGGACTAGTAAGCAGGCTGAGGCACAGAATTTTTGAAAACGGAGTCACCCCTCTCAGGAAGACAGGGCCAGGGGAGGCGGCTGCTGGCTGGCAGAGAGGGGACGCGCGTACCTGTGAGACTGGCATACTGCCGGAATACATCAGAGACGGAGGGCCCGAGCAGCAAGAAGACATTGATGATGCCGCTCTCCGACATCCAGCGGACATCTGTCTGCGGGGTCTCCCCGGAGCCTTGCAGGTAGTCTAGCATCTTCCCAAACAGGGTCTACAGAGGGGACCAGAGACACAGGTCCGACACCCACCTCTTCTTCCCTGACCCAGAGACAAAGCAGCAATGTTCTCTTCAGAGTCCTCACACAGCTGGGTCCTAAGGAGTCAGTCAGGGCCGAGGTCAGGTATCACCTCCTCAGTGAGGCTCTCTGGACCACGCCGTCTCAGACAGCCTGTCTCTGTCCCCACCACGTGATCACTGCACTTCCTTCTCACCACTTACCACTGCGGAACTCAGCCCGCCTCCTTACCTGTCTTCCATCTGTCTTCCGCCCCGAGAGTGAGGACCTGTCCTACCTCAATGAGCAATATATCCCCAGCACCTCCAAGAGTGTCCAGTACATGACAAACGGTCACTAACAAACGTACTGACAACAGATGCAGAAGAAGCAATATTTTCTCCACAAGTGTGTGTTTTCTGGGAAGGACCAGGGAACTCAAATGCTGCTCCCAAGGCTCAGGGCCCCTTCTCCCACCCAGCCCCTAAACAGTATCCCCCGAAGAGCCTCCAGCCAGCCTCTTCAAAGTAAACGCCCCCGGCATACGCATTTGCCTCAGGCCTGAAGACTCACTCTCTTACTCCTCCCTGCACGCGTGCTCACCTTCCCTGCAGTGTTGGAAGATATGTCAATCCAGGTCTCTGCAGCATTGAGCCAGAAGATGCCCAGGTCCCGATGAGGGCTGTGTGCCAGAAGCACAGGCACAGACCCATAAAGGGCCATGGGGTTGTACAGCTCGTACTGGAATACATCCAAATTGTAGAGGCGATACGGCTCCCCACCCCTGCAGGCAGACAGACAGACTGGCCCTAGGCTGTGGCACCCACAACCTCCATCCCACAGATACAGGTGAGTGATAAAAACTGGCCCCCCTGCCCTTTCTCAAAGGAGAATTTTTTTTTAAGATTTTATTTATTTATGAGAGAGAGAGAGAGCGCAAGAGAGCACGGGCGTGGAGGGGGGGGGGGGGGGGGCAAAGGAAGAGGGAGAGGGAGAAGCAGACTCCCCGTTGAGCAGGGAACCTGATGCGAGGCTTGATCCCAGGACCCTGGGATCATGACCTAAGCCGAAGGGAGACGCTTAACGACTGAGCCACCCAGGCGCCCCTGAAGGCAGATGCTTAACTGACTGAGCTACCCAGGCGCCCCTCAAAGTTGAATTTTCTGATCATCAAAGGTGATCTGGCCACAGGAAGTGATCCGTGCTTGTCTGGAGTATCCAAACTGCATGGATACCACCCCACAGCCCTAAAGTCCGACCCCTCTTTCCCCCCCATTTCTTGATGTCACCATGGGACTCACTCAGTGACTTTTAGCCTCAGGTTGTCTGCATGCTCAGGGATCCCATACACATGCTCCATGCCTGGCAGAGAGAAGTCCAAACCCACAGACGTGGGGCCTGGAAGGAAAGCAAAAGATGGGCTTTAAAGCTTCTGTTTGACAAGGAGTCCCTGCGTCCCTGCCCAAGGCTCTCCCAGTCCCTCACCATATGGCTTGCTGTCAGAGTGAGTTTTGAATGTCTCCTCCCAGGCTTCTGGCTCATCTTTCTCTGCTTTCCCCTGGGTCTCCTCTGGCTGTGAGGAGGAAAGCAGACCACCTCCAATCACACACTAGCTCTCTCTTCCCCCACCCTCTTCTAAGTCCTGTCCCCAACGGGGAGACTGAGCTCAAGTTTCCTGTGGACCTCTCCCCTCCAACCTCCCAGCCAGCCCTGTGCCCAACCACCCAGCCCGCCGACTTGCCTTGTCACCATCCCCAGGTGCTTCCTCGGGCTGGGCCCCACCGCCCTCAGCTGGGTCTTTTGATCCTTGCCTGGAAGGTAGGAGAGCTGTCTGCTCCAATCCAGAGGGGGCAGGGACGAGGGGCTAATGGAAGGAGGGGTAAGGGAATAGAGAGCCAAGGGTCCAAAGGAATGAAGGCATTGGAGGAAGGGACTGAATGTTAAAGCTTGGTGAGGGACCCCGGTGAGCAGATCAGTATGCAAAGGACGGGGAGAGAAATGAGAAAGGGAAATGATTCGGTGCCTCCCGCACCCAGGACTAAATCACTAGCCCCTGCCCGCATTCCGAAAGAGACAGGCAGGACGGTTCGAGTGCCTAGACTGGGAATGTCAGTGCTGGCTCTGCAGCCTCCGAAAGAATCTGGCCCCAACTACTCTCACTGGGCCTCAGCCTCTTGGCCTGACACCAGGGTTTTACAAAGGCAAGTGGGTCACACCATAGTCAAACCTCTACAGACATATGCAGGGACTCAAACAAGAGGTTCTGCCAAAGAAGACTTTCAAGGGCAGCTGGCAAGCACTTCCACCTAGAGCCTCCGTGTACTCCCGCTAAGAGCCAGAAACCCCAGCATCAGGCGGCATCTCTCCACCCCTTGGCAAAGCAAGAAGCACCTTACATTCCTTAAGGACTCCCAGCATTTCATGTTCCTTCTCCTAGGGGGCTCCCAGCCAGGGGAACAGGGACCAGATACCATGTATCTGGGGAAAGAAGGGTGAGTGAAGGGCAGGGCATAGGAAGGTCTGGGGCACCTTCCCCTGGGGACCAGAGTGAAGGGCAGGTAAGGGCAGAGGAACAGATACAGTACCAGTGGCCATGGATTTACCTAGAGAAAAGGTTCTTGATCTTATCCCAAATGCTACCGAGCGTGAGACTAACTTTATCCGAGAAACTGGGGCAGGAGGAGATGGGTAGGGAAGGGGAAAAGGAGGCACAAAACCAACACAAAAACAGAAACATAAAAGTGAGTTTCAGTCGACAAACTTCCAGAGATGGGGGGTGGGGCGGAAAAGAAACCAAAAAAAAAAAAAAAAAAAAGAAGAAAATAAACCTGGGAAATGTGATGGTGTGAGAAGGGGAAGAGGGAAAGGCAGACCCAGGCAGGCCTCCCAGAGGAGGTGCCCAGGGTACAGCTCAGAGACAAAAGTGACTTGCCTCCTGATCTGTACAGGAAAGGGAGAAAACCGCAACCCGGGTCTGCTTCCTACTCTCCCCGAGAGCAGCTTCTCCCAGCCCCAGCCCCTACGGTGGTCCTGCCACCCTGTTTCCTCCCAGGGACCCGGGGCCAAATCCACCACACCCCTGGGCTCTTGCACACTAGGTTCTCTCTGGTCCCAACCCCTGTACTCACGGGACCCTGGGGGCCCTCTGGTGCTCAAAATCCAAGAGTCCTCGGGCATTGACACTGAGCAAAAGACTGCGGTCCTCTAGCAGGTCCAGGCGGAATGGCCGCGCCGTCAAGATGATTTTATAGGGTCCCTCAGCCACGGTGAGCTCCACGCTGTTGTCATCACGGCCAGAGATGGAAAGCCTGGGAAAGAGATCGAAAGGGATACAAAGCAGCACAAAGGGCGAAGAGTAGTGATGACACTTCAGGGGTGGCGGGGGGGGGGGACCGCTAAGAGCTATTGGTGTTGTGGGGACAGTGCCAGGGCGGACAGATTCACCAAAGGAACCAAAGAAGAGCTTGGCAGTGGACCCAAGCATACTTAGAACTTAGAAATGTAACAGAGGTAGCATGGCGGTTTGGTGAGGAAAGGACAACTATTCAATAGTGAAGTCAGAAAAACAGATTTCCTAAACAGGAAAAAAACAGTACCAAATCCCTACTTCATACCAGATACTAGCATCAACTCCAGACAGGTTATTACTTAACATTTTAAAGTAAGATTTTTTAATTCTTTTTTTTTTTTTTTTTATGAAATCTCTACACACCCAACATGGGGCTCAAACCCACAAACCCAAGATCAAGAGTCGTATGTTCTGGGGCGCCTGGGTGGCTTAAATGGTTAAGTGTCTGCCTTTGGCTCAGGTCACGATCCCAGGGTCCTGGGATCGAGCCCCACATCCGGCTCCTGTCTCAGCGGGGGGTCTGCTTCTCCCTCTCCCTCTGCCTCTCCCCCTGCTCATGCTCGCTCTCTCTGTGTCTTGAATCTTTTTTTTTTTTAAAGATTTTATTTATTTATTTGAGAGACAGAGAGAATGAGAGATAGAAAGCACGGAAGGAAGAGGGTCAGAGGGAGAAGCAGACTCCCTGCTGAGCAGGGAGCCCGATGCGGGACTTGATCCCAGGACTCCAGGATCATGACCTGAGCCGAAGGCAGTCGCTTAACCAACTGAGCCACCCAGGCGCCCTCTGTGTCTTGAATCTTAAAAAAAAACTTAAAAAAAAAAAAAGGTGGTATATTCTGTTGACTGAGCCAGCCAGGCGTCCCTAAAGTAAGATTTTTAGAAAAAAATATATTTTTCTGACCTTGAGATAGAGAATTATTTCAACACAACTTAGAGGGGCGCTTGAGAGGTTCAGTTGGTTAAGCGTCTCCTTTGGCTTGGGTCATGATCCCATGTTCCTGGGATCAAGCCCCACATTAGGCTCCCTGCTCAGCGGGGAGCCTGCTTCTCCCTCTCCCTCTGCCTGCAACTCCCCCTGCTTGTTCTCTGTCAAATAAATAAATATTTTATAAAAAGTATATAAGAAATTAAAGTTAAATTAAAAATATAAGATTATATAAAATATAAGAAATATAAAAATTAAAAATGATATTAAAAATTAATAATAAACACAACTCAGAAAATGCTAACACCATGGGGCACCATATGAATATATACGGCAGTAAAAATGAATTTCTAAAGCTATATGCAACAGAGTTATATAAAGTTATGTCAAAGACGGAAGTTCCAGAAGCCCACATTCACTAGAGGATACTTACCCTAAACACTCAAAACCAAACACACCTACATAGTTTATGGCTTAGGGACACAAACACAAATACGTTTGTGTATACCTGTTCTTATGTGCATACATGACACAACTGTAAGAACAAGACAAGGGAATGAACTTTAGAGTAACAATCACCTCTGAGGGTGGTCAGGACCACAGGATAGTGAGAAGTAAATGGTTGGGCTGGGTAAAGGGTATACAGGGAAGAGGGTTTATCATATCATTTTCTATAGATTTTCTTTTTTAAGATTTTTATTTATTTATTTGACAGAGAGAGAGAGACAGCGAGAGAGGGAACACAAGCAGGGGGAGTGGGAGAGGGAGAAGCAGGCTTCCCGCGGAGCAGGGAGCCCGATGCAGGACTCGATCCCAGGACCGTGGAATCATGACCTGAGCCAAAGGCAGGTGCTTAACGACTGAGCCACCCAGGCGCCCCTTATCATAACATTTTCTAAATTAAGTACTTAATAGAGAGCCATGCATGGGGCGCTGGGCTGGTTCAGTCAGCAGAGCATGCGACTCTTGACCTCAGGGTTGTGGGTTTGAGCCCCACATCGGGTGCAGAGATTACTAAAAAAAATAAAATAAACAAACTTAAAAAAAGAGAGAGAGAGAGCGCGCCACGCATGGAATACTCATAATGACACTGTGTCATGATTCAAGGATTTGAGTAATCATATCATGAGCATCTGAAGAAAAACAAAGAAAAAGAGAAAAGTAAGGGGAAGGGAAAGGACGGGAGGAACCAACCACAAAGACACTAACACTGGAGGGCAAGACCTGGGGCCTTGTTTATCTACTCTTGCATTGTCAGCCCCTAGCCCAGGCCTGGCACAGAACTGGAAGAAGTATCTGTTTGCAGAATGAAAGAAAAAGGGCAGAAGAGAAAATGCGTGAAACAGAGGGAGAAATGGAGCAAGGTTAGAAGAGGGACGAGATGCTAGTCAGCTGTTATCCCAAAGTGGAAAAAAAAAATCAACCAAATAAAGGTTAATCAGGAAGGACAAAAGGACCAGGGAAATGGATAGGTTTCTCAGGAAAAATTTACCGAGACGTGGGGGGCTCGGCCACCAATACATCTGGCACCCGGTATCGGGGCCGCCGGGGCTCCAGTTCATCAATCCTGATCCAGGTCATATTCTTTTGAAGCCCCTGGAGCTCCAGCACCAGCACTACCTGTGGGGGCAGAGGTTTGGATCTGGAGAAGGGAGAGGGCTACACCATGGAATGCCCTCTGAACCCACTCCCTCCTGAGGGGTCTCCTCCTTCTAGCCCCTTACCTAAGGGATCTGAGATACGAATTCCTCACAAAATCCCAAGATGGCTGGGATAGGATGTTGGCTACAGGTTCACCTCTGCCGAATTACCCCTTAGCCATTTCCCCACCCCCACCAGACTCCTCCTTTTCTCCCCTGACCTTGGTGACCTCATTGATCAGATGGACTGTGAGGGCATCAGGACCAATCTGTAGAGAGTCCAGCAAGGCTCGGTACGGAGAGAGGCCTGGACGCATGCTTCGTTGCCTCCTGCCAAGTGAAATGGGAAGGAGGGAAGGTTCCCCAATGTTCCTAGGACCCTCTACCACCTGCAATGTCCCCAGGCTACCCCCCATCTGCCACAGCACCTCCCACAGTACCCTATTTTCCAGCCCACTCTCCAAGAAATATCATACTTGCAGAAGGAACTCTCTTCACAGGTCTTAAAGTTGCTTCTATCCACAGCAAGGGTAACTCCCAGGCAGACCCCTAAACAAGCGAGTACCAAACCTGTCCCAGACCTAAGGAGGAAAAAAGACAAAGAGGGAACAATCAGCGCAGAGATCAGAAAAGGCCCCACCTTCACAGGGAAAGGCCCCTTCCCACCACAACCCTAAAAGGGGAGAAAAATAGAGTCTGGTCAAATAGAAGAGAAGGCACAGTGGACATGGGGTGAAACGTCAGGCCTGCGGAGTTGGCTCACTCACACCTTCCCTTCAAAAGGCAGGGGAAGTGGACAAAGGATCTTTGGCCTTCAGAGGCCCTGGTATTGACTCTGGTTACATCAGCTTCTCAGAGGAAAGGAGCAGTAACAGCCAGTCCCAGGGGAAGCGGTGGCACCATGTGAGGAACAGAGAAACAAAGCGAGCCATGCCTTTCCACGGGCAAGGCATCAGGTGGAGCTACGGTGGTAAAGTTAAAGATGTACCCTCAGCTAGCCTGTTGTCACAATACCCAGAGTCCCAACATCCCTAGCACCCACGCACCCTGCTCCTCAGACCTCCACTCCTAGGGATTCGAAATAAGTCGCCAATACCACGACCTAAGCCTGAAAAGAATAACAACAGCCACATGTCCTGAATCCTAACATACCCTGAGGGGCCGGGCTAACTGCCTATATCCCTAGTTTTCAACTCAGCCTGAAGTTTTTAAAAGTGCCAATCTCACCCCGAGATTCTGATCGAACTGGCACACAGCGGGGTCTGGGCATCAGAGTTTTTAAAATCTCCTCAAAACAACTCTAATGGGCAACCATCATTCAAAACCACTTCTTGATACATACTACCTCTTTTTCATTTCTTTCGTTGTTTTCTTGGTGGATGTAGGGTTGGGGTTTTTCCCAGATGGGAAAATTGAAGCATAAAAGGTTCAATAATCCATCCAAAACTGAACTGCTAATAAGGGGTGAAACTGGGATTGAACTCAGCTCTGCCTGACTCCGGGGCGCACGTACTTCATGATACACAATACAGCATGCTACCTACCAGCAGGGCCTGCCTCACTGAGGACCATTACCCCAAGGTTACCATAAACTGTTAGTTCCCCAAGGTGCTATCAAATGACAGACAAGGGACTAAATGGCTAAACAAGTTAGTTTGAAAGATACATTCATCCATTCTCAGTAAATCCCAAACAGAGGTTCTCAAACTTCATTGTCTGTTAAGAATTACCTGCAGTATTTAGTAAATGTAGATTCCCGAACCCCGGGAGAAATCTTCATTTTAAACATGCTTTCCCAGAGGCTGATGTGGGTTGTCCAGGAGCACACTCTTAAAATGTCCCAAATAGGAGAGAAAACAAACACAAGCTTCTCTTCTTCTAAGTCTTAAAACTTTGCAAACTGCTAACTAGAGACTATATACATTGTACCCAGCATTAGCCTCAGCATCTGCCTGAAAGCTAAAGGTAAGGAAAATTCACCAGAAAGGAGATGGCAGAACACAGTAAACCCTCCAGTTCCAGAAGAATGTGCAAAGCAAGCCAGGGCACACAGAAAAGTGAGGGAAACACCAGGCAATGTCTTTTGATAGGCCAAGCAGGAATAATTAGTAGCAAAACAAGCAGAAGAAATGCTACCAGAAAACTCAACAGCAAGCCTTGTGGCCCAGGTCCTGAGGAGTGACTGCAGCAGGCACCCTGCACCACTGACTCCATGTCCACCTGCCCAAAGCAGCAGTAATCAGAAGTACAGTGAGTTAAACACCCTCTGGAGTCCTATTTGCACAATCTATGCAATGGGCTTGGGAGAAATGCCAATGAGGATAAGATTTCTAAAAGATCTTTCAGATGTGACCTGTTGTAAGGCCCTAGGAACTCCGGAATGCCTTGAACGCCCGAGAGCAAGAGGTGGTCACAAGCCAACGTCAGGAATGAGCCACAGGTAAGGTGCACCCGTTTATTGTTTCAGATCACAGGCTTCCAAAGAGTTGAGTTTACAGTCCAATCTTTTTTTCTCTGCTGGTGACAGTACATGCCTCTCCCACCCCAGTACATCCGTTATGTCCAGGTAAACGTTTTGTGGCGCTGGTGATCGTTTCGAACCGTTTTTTGTTTTTTTCGGTAATAGAAACTCGAAAGCGCAGACCAAAACATTCGACTGCATGTTGTGTTTGAGCACCATCATCCAGGCAGACCGTGAACTTACGGGATCCTGCCCCAACCGTGCCCAGCGACCGTGAACACCGAACAAGCCATGGTTGGTGTCCACGTGAAGACAAGGGCAGGGCAGGGTCCGGGACTCTGGCGGGGGAGGGGGGGCGGCAGGGGGTAGGGCAAGAAGGGTAGTGCAGGCGGGATAGCAGGCCGCGGGGCTTCCCGGCTGAGGGGCCCGCAGGACAGTGGACGCGTTCCCGGGGGCCCGGCCGCGTCTAGTCCCCCGCCCGGATGGCCCGCACCCTGCAGGAAGGAGGCGGCAGCGTTAACCGCCGCGAGCCGCCAAGGGAGGGGGCGGCTAAGAGCGGCCAAGACCAAGAAGAGCGAACGGTTGCGGCCTTCTTGAGCCGCCGGGCTAGAGCTGGGAGCCCCCAGAAGCAAGGGCCCCCAACGCCGCGCGGATGTACCGCGAGGAAACCGGGGGAGCCTGAGGCCGCCTCCAGAGGGACAAAGGGTGCTCACGAGGCCGGGGGATAACAGAGTCTCAGGAGGACACACAGGAAGGAGAGATATGGGGTTTGAGGGGCCTTGGGGCGTCCCGGGCGTGCCCCCGGGTTCCGGGCTCCTCACCGCCTCCTACGCGCCGCCACTGCCGCTACCGCCGCCATCTTGTGCCGGGTTTGCTCCTTGACCCCGAGCCTCTCCTCCCCCCCGCGCGCGTTGAGCCACGTATCTTAGCGCCCGCCCCTTCCGGCCTTCTGATTGGCTCGACCGGAGAGCGGCCGGGCGGCTGTCCCATTGGCAGAGCGCGCACAATAAATGCCCGCGGCAGGCGGGTCTAGGGGCGTAGCCTGAGGGCGGGGGGCGGGATTGTCCAGAGCCAGGTGCTGTCCGACTTTGTCAGCTCTAAGCATCAGACAGAGGAACTGGACTCTGCTTTTCTCAACTCGGCAAATTTTATTTAGAAAAAAAAAGATGGGGGAGGAAAAAAGTGACAGCGCTCTTCAGGCCAAGGTTTTAGAAGAGAAACCTCCACCTTTCTGCAGCACCTTAGCCCCCTAGCTCTCTCACTGCTCAACCTCCCTTGGCTTCCGAAGCTTGGAAAAGGCTATGTTCCCTGCCGAAGGAGAGTGGACGGTGAAGGTGCCTGGAAACGGCCAGAGAAAAGGCCCAGGCGGTCAATGTTGCGGTGGAGGACACTGTGCAGCACAGCGAGATGGGGTCCACCCTCACCCCCGCCCTCCCTGGAGAAGTCCCGGATGAAGCGGCCACGCTCCGACTGGAAGATGAACTTCTGGGGCAATGGCCCATGCTCCCGGAGAAAGCCCCAGACACTGAGCAGCAGCAGACGCACTTCAAAAGGTGCCAGTTGGCTAAATACCTCGTGCATATTACCCAGGGCTGGTGGCAGGAGGCTTCCCTCTGCCATGACAGCTACCAGAGTGCAGGATGCCTCCAGGTGCCAGGGGGAGTGAGCTGTATCAGGGTGGCGAGAGGCTTCCCAATGACCCAGAAGGGCGGCTAGTAGCCCCCGCAGGAGCACGGAACAGTAGCACAGGGCTGGGGGAGCAGCTGCCACCAGCTTTAACAGCTCAAAGAGCAAGGGCTGTTCCCGGAAGCGCCGGCCAATGCGGAGATCCCGCTCCACGGTGGCCCGGGCGTGCTCCTCAGGGGGCCAGGCTAGCTCAGCACCAGCTGCATCAGGACACACACTCTCCACCAGGGTCACTGCCACAGCTTTGGCTGCCTCAGGGCTCAGGGTGGGAGCCCCCCAGCAGCCCCCACATTCAGTACCCCCAGGGGCACTGCAGCAGTGCACCAGGAGGCTGAGGAGGCTCTGGGTGTTATAGATCACTTCCTGCTGATTGCGTGACCGGACAAACTTGGGTGGCTTGAGGCCACAACCGATGACTCCAGCGTGGAAAACTGACCAAATCCCTCCAGGCCCTGGCACAGCTGCAGTGTGCCGCCGGTTTGTGTCCAACAGGGAGGCAGAAGCCAAAGGAGCTGAGACAACTGAGAGAGTCTCGTTGTCCCTATCCACTTCCCCTCCAAATAGTTCTGCGTTGCCCCGATGTAAGGCTCCCTCAACTAGCAGCTGCAAGACAGCTTTGAGCCCAGCTGGAGAGGTCTGAGAGAGGCGGGTAAGAAGCTGAGAGGCCGAAGCCACCCCTGGGGGGCCATGTAGCCTCAGAGATGAAAAGAAGCGATGTACTCCAGCTCTCACCAGTCCCAAGAGTTGGGAGGGGGACAGGGCTTCTTGAGGAAAGGGACAAATGGCCAGGAGAGAGGCAGCAGCTTCAGCTACTTCCTCCTCAGGATGTAGCAGGAGAGGAGCCAGGTCAGACAAATGGGCTGATGCAGACTCCCCAAACCGGGCCCCTAGGGCTGCAGGGCCCTCACCACCCTGCTGTTCCCACCCCACGAGCAGTGCCAAGTTGCGCAGGAACCGGGCAGTGAAGGGAGGCTGCAGAGTCCCTGCATGCACCCGAGCCAGGCAGCTTCGGAAAGCCAGAGGCAGGAGGCCAGAGAGGCTGACCACCAGCCCTGCATATAATTGGGTGGCCAGACTCAACTCTTCAGGGCTTCGGGCCCGGCTCAGGAGATGGCCCAAGGCCTCGGGTCCACAGCTAGGCCGAGTATAGACAGAGAGCAGCCCCAGGAGCTGGTGTTGCCAAAGGAAGCGCTTCCGTTCCAATCGTAAGGTCTCTCCACACAGCTCTCCAACATGGTTTCTTAGCGCATCTAGAAAGGGCACAGGGCGGGGGGGTGGGGGCGGGCCCAGCACCCCTTCCCCAGGAGACCCTCCCCGGTGATGAACCAGTTTTTGCAGATGCAGCAGCAGCAGCTGGATCAGCCGGTCACAGGCCTCACGCACCGTGTCCGGCACAGCCAGGCCTTGGGTGGTAATGACTGAGGCAGGCATAGCTGTGTCCACCAGGAACTGCAACAGGCGGTAGGCACCTGCCCCCGAGGCCTGGCTCACCAGGTGCACAGCCAGATTCAGCATGTTGTCCAGCTCCTCTCGGGGGAATCCCTGCAGGTGTTGCTGCAGCTGACTCAGCACAGCTGGAGGCTTAAGGCAGTCCACCAACTCTCCAGAGACTGTGCCCAGCAAAGCTGGTGACATGACCGCCAGCTGCAGTAGGAAGGGGACTGTGGCCTGAAGGGACGGGTCCCCACTCCGGCCCCCAGAGCCCCCTGCCAGGCTATCATGGAACATTCGCAGAAGCTCCCGGCGGATGCTGTCTCCGTGGCGGGAGGCCAGGTGCCCTAAGATGCCTACAACTGAGGCAATCTTGGGCACCCTTTTCTCCCCAGGGATAGCAGGAGATCCAGGGAAGGGGTCTATAGAGGGGGTTTGAGAAGAGCTTGCACCACTGCCACCAGCTCCGCCTCCAGCCCCACCGTGAACACAGAAATCCTTAAGGCCACAGGAGAGAACTCGGGAGATGATAGTGCCAGGAAAAGAGGAGCCAATATGGGCCACAACCCAGTCGAAGTGTGGGGAATGCTGGACAGAGGTATCCAGCAAGGCATCCACGCAGGCATCTGGGCAACTACCAATGAGAGCTGAGAGACACTGAACATAGATGTCCATTAATGTGCGGGTGGCCCGACAGCCCATCCACAGCTGCAGCAATTCGTTGAGGGAGCCAGTGGCATGGGGCACACGCTGGTGCTGGCCTGAGTATGTGCTGCTCAGTTGCCCCATGAGGTCAATGGACCATGCGCTAATCACAGGTGCCCAGGCCTTTGGGTTGGCCCGGATAAACTCAGACAGCACCTGCTGTACTTCCTGCACCACATCTTCTAGACCAGGTCCCCCAGCGGGGACATGGGAGGGTGGGGGTGGACGGAGGTGAGGGGGGCCAGCCACAGGGCTTTCATCCAGGGCAGCCAGGTGGGCCCGGACACTCTCATCAAAGACACCTCGCAAGTGGTCAAGCACGGCAGCCCGAGCAGGTGGCAAAGAGCGGAGCAGGAGAAGACCACAGCGAGCATGTTCCCGGGCCGAGAGTTGGTGGCCCAGAATAGGGTCCACGCCAGTCAGAAAAGCCTTGATTTCCTGGGACAGCTCTTGAGCACTAAAAGGAAGCAAGAGAAGCAGACTTAGAGCATTGGGAGATGTGAGGCACATTACATTCCCCTTGTGAGCTTTGGTTTCTTTCC